AATTTTGAAATGTGAATCCTGTCCTGTATTCCTGGGGTAACGCTGTGGTCATGATATGCCATCCTTTTAATATATGGTTAGATTCTATTTATCGAAGTTTTGTTTAGAATTTTTGCATGTATGTTCATGAAGGATATTAATCTGTAGTTTTCTTTTCTTGTAATATTGTCTAATTTTGTTATCAGGGTAATGCTGGCCTCAAGGAATGGATTGAGAAATATTTCCCTTTCATTTTTGAGGGGGAAGAATTTCTGTTGAAGTGGTGTTATTTTTTCCTTAAATGTTTGGTAGACTTCACCAGTGAAACCATCTGGGCCTGAAGTCTTTGTGGAAAGGTTTTGAACTACGAATTCAGTTTAACTAATAGGTAAAGGGCTATTTAAGTGATCTATTTTTTTGGAGCTCTGACTCGGATACTGTAACATTTACCTGTTTAAAATGTACGATTCAAAGACTTTTCATATACTCATGAGTTGTGCAACCATCAGTACAGTTTAATTTTAGAACATTTCTGTTCAGTGCCCACTAAGCACTCACTCTTCAGTGTTCCCTCCTCCAGCCCCTTGAAACCACAGGTCTACTTTCTTTTTCTATAGATTTGCCTATTCTGCCAGTTCTGGGCATTTAATACAGGCTGGGGCAAAAGTAGGTTCATAGTTGTGACTACACAAAACAGAATTTATTCTTGAATTATTATTTATTAATTATTGTATTATTTTCCATACCAGCAACTGTAAACCTACTTTTGCTCCACCCTGTATAAAACTGATTTATAAAATTTTATGACTGCCTTCTTTTAATTAGCATAGTATTTTCCAATTTTATCCATGTTGTAGCATTCCTTTTTATTGCCAAATAATATTTTATTATGTGGATATACCACATTTTACTTATCCATTTATTAGTTGATGGACATTTAGATTGTTTCCACTTTTTGAGTATTATGAATAATGCTGCTCTTAATATTTGTTTTTGTGTGGACATATTTTCAATTCTTTTTGGTATATACTAAAAAAGATATAATTTTGACCTTCATCTCAGATTGTCCTCTTCTCACCAATGCCAATTAATGAAATTTAATTCATATTTATAACCTTAGTGACAGTGATAGCCTGGGGAAGCTCCATGTGGGGTAAAAGATGAACAAGCTGGTTCTTTTGTCAGTCTTCTTATGGACCGGGAAAAATTCTGTATAAAAGTCTAGATCAACTAAATCTATAACTTTCCCTCTTCTTTTTGGCACTGCTCTTATGCTTTGAGATACTAGATGCAAATGTAAGATGCTTCCTGAAAGAATGCTCCATGCCTCTGGGTGACCCAGGCCAAGGTCTGATAGTTGGCAATATGTGAGATAGTGAAAATGTAGGCCAGTGTCATAGCAGCCCACCCTAGCCTTGTGCATGACCTTTGTTAATTAGGATGTGTGGGGTTGGAAATTTGCCTTCAACCTTGTGTTCACATCTCTCCCCGTCATTCACCTTGACCTTTTCTGTACATTTTTGGGGAGAGCATTGAAAAAATTCCGCGTTTCTCTAGATTTCCCATAGGATTTAAAAAACAGGTAATATGTCTCTAGCACTTGCTGTATTATAGGAACTGAGCTAAGCAGCTTAAATATATTTTATCTCATTTAATTCATTCCTTTAAGATATTGGTGTTCCACTTTTCAGATGTTTGGAAACAGGCCTACAGTGGCTACTGAACTTTCCCAAGATCGCAGACTTTAGTAAGTGACAGAAGCAAGACCTGAACCCAGGTTTGACTCATTATCAAGTTGTAACTACTAAGGTCTTTACAGTTATTGACACTTAGTGTTTGTGCCACACATTGTTGTGTATTTAAAATGGGCAGTCATGTGTGCTATGGTTTTTTACTTATCATGTTGCCAATCTGGCTGTGATCTCAGGGTGAGTGCAACAGAAATCTAATTAAATATTAGGGGAAAATCTGTTCACATTAGATGAGTAAGCCTTTGTCCGAGCTGCTAAACACCAGCTCACCCTTTAACACCCAGCACAGTGAAAGCATCTCTTAGGTTTTCCTGAGAAACAGCTGTACCTGCCTTTATGTATTTAAAATACTTAGTGCCAGCTCCTGATACAGGTGATGGGCAATTAAACATTTACTTGTCTGCCTCATATTAAATTATACATTTATTTTAAATATATTAGTTAAAAATATACATATGTATTGATATAATTTACATACCATAAATCTACTCACTTTAAGTGTACAAGCTAATGATTTTTATTAAGTTTCCCGAGTCGTGCGACCATCATTATAATCCAGCTTTAGAATATTTCCATCTCCCCATAAAGTTCCCTCATGTCTATTTTCACTTAAGCCCTAATGTCATCCCCAGCCATAGGCAACCATCGATCTGCTTTCTTTCTCTATAGATGTGCCTTTTCTGGGCATCTCATAGAAGTGAAATCAAATAATATGTAGCCGCGTGTCTCTCACTTCTTTTATGTAGCATGTTTTTGAGGTTCGTCCGTTATTATAATATGCATCATCTCACTTTTTTATTATTGTATGAACCTGCCACATTTGGTTTATGTATTTATCAGTTGGTAGACATTGGGTTATTTCCACTGCTTGGCTTCTATGAACATTTGGATGGAAGCCATTGTGTGCATGTTTTCATTCCTTTTGAATAAATACACCGGAGTGGAACTGATGATCATCTTTGATTCCTTAAAGGCAGGAACCTCGCCTTGAAGTTTTTTAGTATTGCCTTGGTGTTCTTCATATTGGCTCATCTAGCATGCGTGCCACATGGGGGGTAGAGAAACTGATCAGGAAATATTTATGACAGTCTCATGTTCTATGAACCTTTGTTTGGTTTTTATATACCCTCCCTCCACCCCACTCCGCACTTGGAAAGAGTTTTATGCTTATCTCAATTCTTTGCAATCGTAGCAAAAATCCTAATGGTTTTGGGTGGCCTAGATTCTTCTTTCCAGCATTGCCCCATGTATACTGAAAGACACTACCTCATACAGTGCCACATTAACAGTAATGGAATGTAAATGGCCTATTTACGTGGTGGATGCATTATTTCTGTATTGCTTGTTTCTGGTGAGGTATAGATGAGTAAGTTATCATCCGGTTCTTATTAAGTGGTCGGGATAGAGTGAGGAGAGTTTTTTGGGTGTTCGATGTGCTGGACATGAACTCTTCTGTTTTGAGACTAACATGTCTGTACCCAAGTAAAGTAAAAATGTTTCTCTACCAAGGGATTGTTTCATTTTGGGACGCAGAAGCCTGATATGACAAGAGGGGCTGGGTATTTTCACCAAAGAAAAGGCTGTAAAGTTACTAATGCTGTTGAAAGCGGCTTACTACCAAGTAGGAAAGATTAGTTGAAGGTCTAAAAAATACTCAACTAGTGTGAATGCTTCTGTATTTTCAACACCCAAGGTCTGGCTCTTACTTTACCTACGAAACTAAGAATACATTTTGACTTGCACCACTTTTTATTTATAAACATCTTTCTTCCTCAGTCTGAGTGTAGCTTATATGCTCTGCCTCACTTAAAGTAAGTTTGTTGATTTTCCTGGGGGAATTGGTGAGACAGGTTCCTGACTGTGTACTTGACAAACCAAAGGGTATTATTTCTGGGGAGGTACTATCTTTCACCTTCCATGTCTCTAGGACGTAGGACACAGGTTTTTAAGAGGAGGAAATATCAGTGTTTAAATGACTAGATCAAAACTAATATGGTAGCAAAAGGGATTAGATTAACTGAGATCCCGCCAAAATAACGCTCAGTATGAGTTCATTTAACCCAGTTTGGAGCTTCATATTAATAATTTCTCAGTACTGCTTAAGAGCATGGACTTTAGAGCCAGATGCTGTGTTAAAAAAAAAAAAAAAAAAAAGTCCTACTTAAGCACTTCCAATTAATAGCTTCCTCATGGAAATGCCATGAGGTTATAGAGTTGCTAAGCTTAAATGAGATAATATATTGAAACACAATGTCTGGCACATAGTAAATGCTCAGTAAATGTATAACAAAATTTAAAAACATAAAACACCAGTTCCCCGGGAGGCGTGTAGGCCAGAGATATGTCCTCTGACTGTGGTAAATGGCCTCATTACAGACTTTCTATTCAAACTTCAATTAGATGGGAGTTTGCAGCTAGGAACCAGTTTTTTAATCACTGAGCCTGTTTCCTTTTTTTAAATTTTTTAGTAAATGGAGTTAATATCTTCAGCATTTGTTTTCATTTCATTCTTCCACTGGGTGAGGACTGACTGCTATAATGTCTGTGCAGGCATCCTACAACTGTAAGAGTAACACTACGTGCACTGTAAAGGAGTAATGTGTATAAACACTGGTGCCATACCTGGTGGTTCTGCATGTACCTCAAGACACTGGGGAAGGAGGTTTTTCTTTCTTATTCTGTCTTCTGTATTTACCATATAGTAGGTATGTCACATTTGGTTTTTTAAACCATCTAGCTTTCTTCCTTCATGATGGAGGTCACTTGTTGAGAAGAGAGTATTTATAGGAGAAGTTTGTGAGATTATCCAATTCATAGATATGACCTGAACATATTTTTGGGGAAAAATGAATAGCTTGTATAGAATAGTTGTGCGATATTGCTGTGATATTTACTAAACATTTATGACCTTTCCTGTGAGAGTTCATTTTAAAATAAGGTAAGAATTTAGCTAGATTGCACGTGTTTACATAAAATGCCACTTTTCGTGATCAAATGTTGTATGTGAGAAGCCTCAGGAGTGAGTTCTTCCTTCCCTCAAGTCTCCTTTGCAGTAGTTGGCAGGTGACCATTTGGGGCATGGAGGGGCAGCTATGGGCTCTGGCGCCAGAGTTAAGCTCTCTTTGAATCTGTGCCATATTAGCATGTAGACTCTGCCATACTGACATGTGAGGGTATCTGAAGTGACAACTCTACTTTCAGTAGAAAAAGGAGGGGAAAAGCAGGAAAGTTGGAGCTGCATGAGTTCTACGGAAGCATGGTAGAGTCACGTAATTAAAAAGCAGATCTTTTTATTGTGATGTTTCTCCATATTTGGCATTGCTGTAAATGGCTAACTAACATTTACTGCCAATTCAGTACAAATGTGTGGGTTGGTAATACCAGGACAGCAAATTTAAATGAAAGTAAAAGTTAAACATTTCCACACAAGATTTTACAATCTGACATTTCACTGTGTAGGTAAAAAGACATTTTTTTCTTTACTAGAGATTATTATTCAGCATGAATAAAAAACTACAACTTTTATTTTTAAACAGGAGTCACTGGTTTTAATTTTTACACATTTTAAAATTACTGTGATAAAAAATAATGAAAAAGCTTCTTAATAATGCCATACACAGTATAATATAGATTTGTCCCCATTATATAGCATTTGTTTAATATACAAAATAGAATATTGACACACTTGAATCTATATGTAGTTAAGCAAGTTATTTGAAGAGGGTATTTTCATACAGCCTTTCATCAGAAAATAAAATCCTTCTTTCCTAGAGAGAAGCTAATCCTTTCCCAAAAAACCTGGCCACTAATCCCTGGTGTACCAGGCCGACTGAGAATAGTCTGGAAAATGATGCAACTTCCACTCAAAGTGGTTAAAGTGTCCCCCTTACTCTCTCATTTTCCCTTTCAACTCTCAAACCAGGCACATAAAGACACATTCATCTACAGCTACAGTCTTCTGAACAACCAACCGAGATCAAAGTCCATGGAGGGCTGCCATGATTCTTGACTTTTGACAGATCATAGTGTAATAATGTTCATTCCATGGAGATGGAGTTTTAGGGTATTTAACAGAACTAAAATGATAAGACTCAATGATACTAGGTTGTCTAGATAAGTAAGATTGGAACTGCTTACCCTTCCCACCCCCCAGTTCTGCAGTGAGGTTGGCTTTCCTTAGATTTGCCTCCAGAATCAACCTGATGCTAGTGGCCGAGCTCTTCATAGACCCTTTGGGGTGAGGTGTTTTTTTTTTGTTTTTTGTTTTTTTTTTTCCCAGAAAGCAAGTGCTCTTTGAGGTTCCCCTCCTATAATCTTAGACAGTTGGGTCTATATACCCCAAAAAGCACTTGCGCCCCGCAGCAAGGCCTAAAAACACCAAGAGGGTCACTTTGTTCCACCAGTAATTAAAAATACTTTTCAGGATCTGTTGTGAGTCACCCAGGCCTGTCACCAACTCTCACTGACATTACTACAAACTTAAATAGTTTGGGATGGCAAGATACCACCTACATAGAAAATGAAGCTACTTTCAAATAGCACCATCTTTTTTCACTTAAATCCATAATTATACTCATAGGAACAACATAATTAAGGTAACTTTCTTCTTTCCCACGTATTCAAAAAGGGCACAGCTTCTTTTTCCATTCAATGTCCAGCCTCCTATAGTTGTATGAATGTCAGTTGATTTCTTTTTAACAACAAAGTGCACGTATCTTTTTTTTTCACCAACCTCTATTTTTTAAGAGCTGAGGATGCTGGGACTAAAACATGATTGATGTGTGATGTGCTTTCTGGTTTTAACCATATTAACATTATAAATGAATAAAATTTACCTTTCAGAAGTTCTTTTTGATTCTTAACACTGTCATTGATAATAATATTCAAGCGGTATTTCTTAGGCACCAAAAATTTCACATCCAGCTGGGTTACAAACCATCTTAAAATACTTTGAGATCAATTTAAACTATTACAGAAAAGGAACATTCCCTTTTAGAGAGCATTCAAAAAGCAAATTATTACATTTATTAAATAATTTCTCCAAAATACTGAAAAATAACAAATAACATTCAAAAAGCATTCAAAGAAAACATAAACATCCTCATTTTGTTTGGAAATGAACTCCTGTAGGATAGAAAGGAATTAGTGTATTATTGGCAACCTAGGAGATTCTGCACTATTTACATATTGCTGGTACCTCTATGCCTATTATTGCCAAACTTCTAAAGCCTCTGTTTTTATTAAACTGCCGGAGAGGCTTGCATGTGAAAGTAACACACTGTTAGATGGTGACCGTCTGGGGGTAAGCACCACCTTTCCATCTCCTGCTCACACACTTAGCGCAAGGGGAGATTTAGTCAACTAAGCCTGCGCCGCCAGAATCACCGTTGGAATGAGAAGGGTGGTCATTCTGGGAGGCAGAGGATTACTTCCTCTGTGATCTGAGCGGGGTGGAGCCTCAGCCACCTTCTCTGCACACAGGGTCAGTCTCCATCTCCCTCGTCCCCTCGACTCTAGGGCCTAGAGCAAACCTGTTTGGTTTTCGAGACCACTACTGCGTATATGAATGCTTACACTCACTAAAATCATATAGGTTATCCATCGACATTTCTTTGACCCCTACAAAAAATATATAACATGTCGTGATAAAACAATCTCATCTAAAAATCATTCTTATTTTACACTATACAAGCTATTTTACAATCATTTTAATAAATTGCATGTAAAGCTGCAGTAGCCCTTCCCTTCCCAGATTAGTGAATACCAATATGATATATATCTGAAACTATAACTAAATATAAAAATATATTAGAAGTTTCATATTTTTAATATTAGATTTTCAGTTTTCTATTACACAAATAATTTGGCCACCTTGGATAGAAATCAGATTTCTTGTGGCTTAGTAAATATGAGTTTTGAGTTTACAGAAAGTTGGTAAGGTGCACACAGAAAGGGCTACTACAGCTTCTATTTGTTTAAAATGATTAAGTCTCAGCAGTGAGGAGGAGAAATTCACAAGACTTTTGTTAAACTATGGCACACACGGGGACGGGGATGTGTATAGTTTACAAACATGGAAGTCGGACACACAGTCTAAGTCACAGAAATCAGTAGCTGAGCTTTCCTGTACCACCAGGAAGGGTAGACTACTAGGTGACAGATGGGAATGTGAAAATGGGTGTCTAGCCACTTCTGCCTTATTAGAGATTTATTTTTTGGGTAAAGTGAGAGGAATTACTTGGTCTGATTAAAATCTCTCAGCTTTTTTTCAGCTGGTTATCTGGAATCATAACTTTTAAGAAGTTATATAAACTACAACAAAAGGTCCTGAAAGACAGTAAACTAACTTTCGTGCCATCTAACCATTGCAGGGATAGGGCATTAGGTACAAACAGGGCCTCTTGGTAGTTTTCTTGTTTGTTTTAAATTAGTCTTTTGCAGCCATCATCCACAGTTTACCCAGCAGGTCTGGACTAGGTAGGTGCTCTATACCAGTTAGGACGGTTAATTTGCACAATCTATATAATTCCCCACTGAAGCATATATATATACAAAATATGAGCTTTTTTGACAAGAATACTGGAGATTTGAGTCAATTTTTGTGGTCTTTTGATAGCTAAGTGCCATCAGGTTAGAAGCACCAACCCATTTTCACACAGAAGATTAATGTTTAGAGTTTATCTAGGAAAGCTTTGAACTAGTTGCCCATCTGAAACAGCTGTACAGTAACTCGAATACAAAAATTATGTAAGAAAAAATGAGCAAGCGTAGTTCACTGAATATAAAGGAAATTGCTAAAACCAGATGATAATAGCTATAAAAGGCACAGCTTCCCTTTTCTGATATACACTTGTAAACTTGTTTTCAGGTTTCCATGCATAAATCAAAAAATGTTATCCTAACTATACAGGGGGAAATACACCAACAAAAAGTCTAGAAAATTTTTTCCAGCCAACTGTGAAAAATATGAGCAGAAAGTCCATGACGTAGACTCTGGGCACTGGTGGTTTGGGTGCCACCCTTCTCTGATAGTGGAGATCACCCCACGTCATTGTTTGTAATTCCTGGGATCCACCAACTAGCACTTTCTACTTTTCCCATCACTGAGAAGTGATGGCTCAACTGCTCTGCTGCCAAGTCTTGGCCCTCTATAAACCACATGTAGTGCGTATTCAAAACAAAAACAAAACCAGACATGAACAAAAAAGAAAACTAAACAGAACCGCTATAGGATAAACTGATAATTTTTACAATAAAAGCTATAAAGTCAACTTTCTTTAAGGCAACCTTTCTTATTAAGGCAGTCACTTTTGATGAAACAGAAGTTTTTTGATGTTTCCACTTGAATATCTTGGTAACTGGTTGGTGATCAGTTCAGCTAACATCTCTGGGAATTCAATACTCATGGTCTTATCCAAAAACGTTTGGAAGCAATAGTGAAGGAGATTTTCAACTACCTACAAGGGACGATAGAGTAATGATTAGTCTTAAAAGTCTATCAGTAGGAACATCTCATGCCTGTTGGCTTTTTTTTTTTTAAATATCTGACCTAGACAGAATACACCAATCTCTGCTGGAATTCCCCAAGTAAACAAAAGTTTAGTTAAATACAATGAGCACTCAGGTACCAAAGACCTCCTGAGTCCCTTATATTGTATACAGAATTATCTGGAATTAAGTGTTTCATGATGAACTGCAGTACTACAGTACGTGAAAGACACATTCTAAAGGATTAATCACGCAAAGCCAGGGAATTCCACATTTTAAAACAGTGCTGTTAAGTTTTGTGCTAGCGTCACAATGCCGTATGCACAGGACTAGAGGAAATGGAATTCCGTAATTGGCCTCAGGAAAACCGTGTGCTAACTGAAGTTACAGCTCAATCTCAAACCACCATCAATATCCACAAACGGGAAAATACGGGTATATAATTATTCAAACTAACTAGAACATAACTTCATATCCCAAAAAGTCTTCTCATAGTTGGATCTGTGTTTGACACTTACATCATGCATGGAGTCCAAGAGTTTTGTCAGTTGATAAAACCGCTGCCAGTTCTGACTGGAGTTTCCTTCCCTCTTGACGATGGCTTTCCCCAGTTCTTTGATGTAGGTCATTCTAATTTCATCAAATAGCTCTTGGCTCTTCAACCCTTCCTTAGGAACTAAAAGATTAACATGTAGTTAATTAAATAACCTTCTTGAGATAACTTTTCATGTATGCAAGTAGGGCATTTATTAATTGCACACTTCGTGACTGAACATTGTCTATGTGCTTTTAATGCACTCTATTAAAACATGAGCATTTCAAAGGCTTGTGAAACTACAGCCAAGAGAATATACTGGGCCAGTAGGAAACTGGAGGACTGAAGCTTAGGTAAAGCGCTTTGCTTCTCATCTTTAAAAGCAGCTGGTGATGACACCTTCCTCTCTAGTTCACAAAGCCGGCTCAAAGACCAAATAACACAGTGGCAGCCATTCTACCCTTCAGTTTAGTTGTAGTACAGACATAGAAAACTTCAACAGTGTTTATTCCACCAATCACAGGAATATATGTGACATCACCAGTCAATTAGACCTAAAAATCAGCATGCAATACATTTTATCAATCGATGTATTAGCACAGAGTTGACAGGATTCCAATCTAAAACAAAACCTGATTTTTTTATGTGGCGCGTGTGTGTGTGTATATATACATATGTGTGTGTGTGTGTACACATACGCCTCTGGGGAAGGAAATACCTGCCTTCCCTTATGTACTCAGAAATATAGAAAATACCTCATGAACTGTGGATCATAAGATTGATGTAAAGTCAGTTTTTTTAATTACTCTTCAAAAACTGATACTAGTAAAGATGGCGAACAGATAGTTTAATCATGGTTTCACTTAGAGACTGACTTTGTAGAGTGCTACATTTCCCGAAGTGTATTCCTTGGAACCCTGGCTCTGTGTTAATGGCTAGGGAAAAGAGGATTTGATGGTCTAAATTTAAGCAAAGCTAAAGGTTTAATACAAAGTGAGGCAGATTCTGAATTTCAGAACTTCTCAGAATGATGATTATGCAGTCTCCAGAGAGGGGAAACAAGTTTCCCAAACTTCACACAGCTGCTGACATCTTAGGAAATGCTGGCATAGAGGAAAAGCAGTGGGTTTAGGATCAAGGAGTCTTAATCTAATTCTTACTTGCTCTGTGGATTTGTTTCATGCTCTTTCTCACTAAATTTTTTCATTTTTTAAGATGTAGATATTATTGACATATGTTAGTCTCAGGTGCACAGCATGATTGCATATTTGTATATAATGTAGAATGATCACAATAAGTCTAGTTAACATCCATCACCATGTATTGCTACAAATTTTTTTCTTGTGATGACAATTTTTAAGATTGTCTTAGCAACTTTCAGACACACAGTACACTATTGTTAACTACAGTCACCATGCTGTACATTATATCCGCATGACTTATATTTTATAGCTGGAAATTTGTACTTTTTAACCCACTTCACCCATTTTTCCTACCCTCTGCCTCTGGCATGCACCAATTTCTGTATCCATGAGCTTGTTTTTGTTGTTTCTTTTTAGATTCCACATATCAGTGAGATCATATGGTATTTCTTTCCCTGACTGGCTTATTTCACCTAGAGTGATGTCCCCAGAATCCATTCATATTGTCACAAATGGCAAGATTTCATTCATTTTTATGGCTTAGTAACTCTCACTGAATATAAATATCTCTTTCACGTTTTCTTTACCATTTATCCGTTGATGGACATTTAGATTCTTCCCTATCTTGGTTACTGTATCTCTTCAAGTTAGTGTTTTTGTTTTCTTTGGATAAATACTCCGAAGTGGAATTGCTGAATCCTATGGAATTTCTGTTTTTAATTTGTTGAGGGACCTCCATACTGTTTTCCACAGTGGCTGCACCAATTTATATTCCCACCAACAGTGCAAGAGGGTTCCCTTTTTCCCACATCTTCACCAACACTTGTTATTTACTGTCTTTTTGATGTTAGCCATTCTCAGAGGTGTGAGATGATATATCATTGTAGTTTTGACTTGCATTTCCCTGATGATTATGTTGAGCACCTTTTCATGTACCTGTTGGCTCTTTGTATGTCTTCTTTGGAAAAATGTCTATTAAGATCCTCTGCCCATTTTTTAATCAGATTGTCTTTTGGCTACTGAATTGTATGAGTTCTTTATATATTTTGGATATTAACCCCTTATCAGATATGATTTGCAAATATCTCCCATTTAGTACATTGCCTTTTATCTTGTGGATGGTTTCCTATGCAGTGCAGCAGCTTTTTAGTTTGATGTAGTCCCACTTGTTTATCTTTACTTTTGGTGTCAGATCCAAAAAATCATCACCAAGATTGATGTCAAGGAGCTTCCCACCTATGTTTTCTTTTAGTTTTATCATCTCAAGTCTTAAATTCAAGTTACTATTTGTGTGTGGTGTAAGATAGTGGTCCAGTTTTATTCTTTTGTATGTGGCTGTTCAGTTTTCCTAACACTATTTATTGAAGAGACTGTCCTTCCCCCATTGTATATTCTTGGCTCCTTCATCATAAATTAACATTTTAACAAAATTAATTCTTCCAATGCACGAGCACAAAATACCCTTCCACCTGCACCGTCTTCAGTTTGTCGCATCAGCGTCTTACGGTTTTCAGTGTATGGGTATTTTACCTCAGTGGTTCAGTTCATTCCTAGGTATCTTCTCCTTTTTGATGCAACTGTAAATGGAATCATTTTCCGAATTTCACTTTCTACTAGAGTTTATTACTGTATATAAATGCGCCAGATTTTTGTATATTGATTTTGTATCCTGCTAGTTTACTGAATTTACCAGTTCCAACAGTTTTTGGAATTGGTAATATCATAATATCATACATAATATCATGTCATCTGCAAATAGTGAGAATTTTACTTCCTCTTTTTCAATTCAGATGCCATTTCTTTTTCTTGCCTTACTGTTCTGGCTGGGACTTCCAGGACTATGTTGAGTTAAAGTGGCAAGGGTGGGCATCCTTGCCTTGTTCCTGATCTTAGAGTAAAAGTTTTTAGTTTTTTCCCATTGAGTATGATGTTAGCTGTGGGTTTGTCATATATGGCCTTCAGTTGTTGAGAGTTTTTAATCATAAATAGATGCTGAATCTTGTCAAGTGCTTTTTCTGCATCTACTGAGAATATGATTGTGAAGTATCACTCTCACTGGATTTTGACTAGGATTAGACCAAAGAACACATATGAAAATGTTCTGATTCCATAAAGCAATATTTGGTACTTCTAAGATGTCAGTATTAATGCAAGATTGAAGGCCACTTAATCAGGAGTGGTAAGAGCCTTCTATGTTAGCGATGTATTCATTTTATACATTAGTTTACATTACAGGTAATCTAATTATTGCTAATTTTTAAAATAGTGATTGCTTATTTATGTTTTTTCCTGCTGGTTATCCTAATTCTAAAAATAATTATGAGAGAAGCCCTATTTGATATTTATATTTAAAAGAATTTCATCCATCCCAAATTATCCTTGTACTTCCATGTATTTTTGCTTTATGTTGTTGGAAGCCATATATTTAGAAATATTTTCCTGGTGAGTAGAATGCTTTATGTAATGAGTATCTTTAAATATAGAAATCCACACACCCCCCCCC